CACGTCATCAATATCAAGCTACCGTGAATTCAAGTTGTACCGACCTGTGATCTCGGTACGTTACATGTTTGCTTATCAAACACAGGCATCACGACGGGTAAACCACGCCTCTTTTCCTCATCCGTCTGCAGAAAAATAGAAAAAAAAATGTACAGGAATAAACCCCAGCCAGTTTGCTTGTTTTAAGTACGAGTTAAGAAATTACATTTTTGTAAATTACAATTATTTTGTGATTACTATGGTTCTGGTTGACGACTATCAGTCAAAATGCCTTCTTTTTCACGATTGAAATTGCCTTTGAAGGCAATTTTTACTGCGCTCTAAATAACTTCAATTTATTTCTCCTTCAGCTACAAAAACCTCCATCTAACGATGCTGATTGTATGAACCCATGACTTCATCAACGTACCTGTGAAAAGTACTCGTCTGCTATTCTGTATGCCCACTCTTTACACAGGTATCGTGGTCGAGCTGGGTTGGCGATATCAGCACACTTAATTAACATTCTTTTAATCAGTGTACGGTTTTCTGGAGTGTTGAGTGCTACAGCAGTTGATGCTGTGGAATCTGGAGTGCCACGCCCACTGTGCTATAAAAATAAACATAGCGTGTTTCAATCCTTTTAGTTCCTGTGTATATCCTACGGCCAGTTTCGCAAAAACGCGACATTCTCAAACTACCGAGCACAATTATACATAGCGAAAAACTGAGTGTGACAAGGGATCCGAAATTGCGTTATTTTCGCTGTGCTCGACTCTGCTGGTCAAAAAATTTACGCTACCAACTTATCCAATCAAAAGCAACTAAAACTAATCAGGTCTTGGGGACTGGCGTTCCCTGCTCTTCAAAGAGAATGCTTGTTTTAAGTTTGAGTTCTCAGCGGCTACTAAAATATTTCCTTTCGCACTGAATGGTCCCTATGATTACTTTAGCTCAAGTTTAAGCATACCCAGTCGAGATACACTCTAGCGTTGAAGAAATACGGTGTTAACTACTTGTGCGCGACTGCTCAAATAGAAGCGGCAGGCGTTCATAGTATTTCATACTGCATTGTATAACAAAGCACCGGTGCAACTATGGACTACTGCCACTTTGCTCCACGGCACCGATGCATAGATACAATAAATTATCGACTTACCACCGAGTGTACCTCATCCATACTGGAAGAACGCCGTTTATTTATAGAGTTTACGAACTTTGAGAGATGTTCAAAGTGTCTCGTCATCTCTGTCGCCATTACCATGTCGATGATCGCTTGGCGAATCGTGCGGAACTCATCCCTGGTAGAAGACAAGTCATGACAAAATTCCTCGTTTAGTAAGAAAAGTCTGTATGCAAATGTAACCAGCAATGCCGGTCAAGAAGACATGAAGGTGACAAGAAGTCCAGAGTGGTAATAAGTAGGTCACCCATCCCCTACAAGTTTCTTCAATGAAGACAAAGGTGTGCATTATATTAGACTTTGGCATCCACCACAGTTTCGCGGCTGTCACATGTACATAAGACCCAGCATCACTTTCATTTAACCCTAAGATTGCGTGCTCGAGATTTGCTTTACTTCACTCTGTGATTGGTCAAAAACTCGCGCCACGCTCTCAAAAAATTGGATGCAAAACTAAAACCAATCGCGACTTGGTCGCTCGCGTTGTCCCGCGCTTTAGGTAGTTTGGTATTTCTTCTTTTGTTTTGATTGGCTGTTGTGGTGACTTTGCTTTGGTTTCACGATACTTAATCAAAAAGCACTCCACTATGATTTCAACTTACATGTCAAGTCCCTTAAAGATGTTTGACCTTTCGTATTTGGCTGTAAGTTTGAACGCCAACGCAGCATGATGACTCTCCAGTACGGCGATGTCGTTGTAGAGGATGGCGAGCTCATTTCCTGCATTACAAAGGAACGAGTTTGTGTATCCCGGATGGTCTACGTCGTGAACAACTGCTGCTATTAACGAGGCTATTTCATCGAGTGGCTCTAGAACAGCCTGCAAAGTAAAGAAAAAATCGTATCAACAAAACTTGTTAGACTTCACAGAAAAAGCAACTAAGATAACAAGTAAATAGAATCGTTCCCTCTGAATTCAAATCACATAACTAAGAAAGGAATGATTTAAGGGAGAAGGTTCTCCTTTACAGATCATGTCCTGCACTACATGTTCTATTTGACAGAACTAACTTAACAATGAAAGGAAAATGTATTAAAGCTCAAATTTTTTTATCAAGAAATCTTGACGTATCTTTGAAACATACAAAGTTTGCGAAACAATTTACGTGCGTTTTTAATGGCACTGAATCGCCAGAGGATAAAATTGATTTGGACTACGATTTGTGCACTATTCACTAAAAAAAAAAAAAAAAACTAAAAATAGAGGGAAGGGCCCAGTTGTTCAGAGTGCGGATAACGCTATCCAACGGATAAATCGCTATTCAGCGGATAGGTGTGAACAAACGTATTGAGCTATCCATCGGATGGATATTTATTCAGTGATAGTGTAATCCACCTTTCGAAAAACCGAAGCTTGCTGGAGATACATTACAAACGCGCTCAAACTTTCCACTCAATACTCTAAATTTTGTCAACCCGTTCTCAGTTATCAAGCACGCTGGTATTGACAAAAACGACATCAACAACGACACGAAAACACATAAAACAACAATAAAAAAAAAGTAGATACTATAATCTGAGATGATGTTACCTTCACTCTTTCTTTTGCTAAGAACACTGCTGTTGCGTGCAAGACATCAGCAGCGTGCGTGGAGTTATGATAGGCGTTTTTCGAGTGATAGTTTTCTTCTATTAACTGAAACAAGAACATATGGACGGAAATCAGTATATCTGAAAAAAAAATGTATAAATAAATGAAAGAAAAAGCCTGAAGGCTTTCCTGGCGGTGCACTAATACCAATCTGTAATCCCGTGTGGAGAGTGGCACTGCCAGAGTGAATATTGTGAAGATAGGATAGAATTCACGTACTTTACCGTCCGGAGTAAATCATACCATGGCGTTAGGAATAAAAGGAATTCATATATTGTCTGTATTTTGTTTTCCGTACGGTAACCCGACTCAATTCAAGCTTTCTTATTCCATGGTTTGACGTTAACTACGAGCGAGCATTGTGTGCTCAATGCTCGTACCATATGTTGAACCATCGAATAAGACAAATGACTGTTGTGTGTGTGATGTAGAGAAAAGTAAAGCTGAACCATGAAAGATCCTTTCCGTAAAAAGACAGAACATGGACACAGCGACTTACTTGTAACCAATTCTTGAGAACATCTTCGGTAATGTTGAGTAATTCACAGGCCCTGAACCTGTTCAGTATCTTCGTTCCCAAGAAGTACAAGGGCCTAAAGATAGTCACGACGTGTTAGTTGATCAAATTACAAATAGGACTTTGACTTCGGAGTCACGTCAACAATAAAAAAACCGAGACTTTTATAGAAATAATTTTGAAAAGCAACGCTATCTCTTCGCTTGAACAATCACAATGAAATGTGACAAGCAATACGGCATAGTACTGTTTTTCTTTGCCTACTACGCTTTTCGATTGGTTTAGAAGTAACACAACAGACTTTCAACCAATCAGACGCAAAACTTAAAACCAAACACACCCTGGCCAACCACGCGTTCCCGCTCTAAAAGTGGGATACACGGAGTTCTCAAAGGCTCCTTAGATTTTCAGTCATCGCTGCGACTAACTTGGATTTCACCTTTTTCCAAACAAACAACGTTCTAAGAGCTCAGGTAAATGGAGACAAGAAAGTAGAGGTTTAGTGCCCCCTAACTACCAAAATTTGAGAGTCGTTGATATTAATGTTTCACCCCGGGAAGTCTCTTTCCAAATGAAAGAAAGGTAGCAAGAGGTTAGTGACCCAGTTGTTGAAACTACTACTGCTTCTGACAATGACATTGGGTGGAGGCAGGCATTAGGGGGCACAAAGGAGGCTGTATATACCCGTTGACCCCCTCGTCCCCTTCCTCCCCCGTGCCACGCCCTTGTGATTATCAGATAAGACGGCGCTAAACAAACCTGTGATTGGAGGCTTTTTCCAACTTGAGAATATCAAAGTCCCAGTCTGCCTCGTCAACCATAGAAGCGATAACTTCAGGTGGGGCCTCTTGGAGGTGTGAGATGGGTGGGGTTCGTACAGTGCTCGGTGTGGTATGACCTGTCCAAAGAAATATGGACGAAGCAAATTACAACGAGAGCTTATCGCCAACAAAACTAGTTTACCTCTCAAAGCATTATGTTAAATTCCTCATTCTGTCAATTTTCAAATCATTCACAAAGATCAGTGATTAATTAAGTTCTTTCTAGAGAGGAGGAAGAGGTTAAAATGATTTAATACCTTAATATTAAACCATTAAAATATTAAGAGCAAACGTTAACATGAAAGTTAGAAAAGAAGTGTAAGTATTAGCCTCGGACCTCTGCCGAATGTGTAGAATAAGTTCGTACTTGGTTTAGGAACGTCACAGGAGGGTCTCCTTCGGCCCTGGAACACAACAAATAGTAAACGACCATTAGGCTATAATCATTAATAGTAAAACCAAAAAACAAAATAAGCACAAGCTGATTAGAGCTTTTTATTTTTACGATTGGCTGTTATGGCTCCTTTAGTTATAAGAGCGTTAACTGAAAACTGCTTTACGGCGAGATTTTTGGGCCAATAATAACAAACGGAACAAGATCAAAGCCAGTGCAATCCCGGATAAATTATAATATTCAAATGAAAGGTCAAATAGAAATGTCGTAATGAATGAAGACAAACGTCAAACTGTGGAAGAATTCAGACCATCGAATGAGTTACTTGAATGAATAAAACTCACATTGCTCATGAGACCTCCGACCAGTTCATTAGTCATCATGTCTTCTTCAGTTGTTGTGAAAGGGGAATATAATTCCGCTGTCCGTAGAATTTCCTAACAAAACAAAAATGTTTTAAGATGCATTCCTCCCAAGTTTTCTCCTCTAAGTAACCGTAAAGTAACAATTTTTTTTACATTTTGTGGCTGCGCTGCGTTCAGTGTACGCCCGGACGTCAAATAGAACCGCTTCGGGGTGTAGCTTTGTCTCCAGCAGACGCTGAAAGGTTCGAACCTTTTACCCTCCAGAACTTATTAACATTTCAGTTGTCCTCGCGATTGCAAGACATAAACCGACAAACAAGTGATGAGAATAAAAAAGTGCATCAGCGAGAGACCAGTCTTAATTAAATGCCAAATTATCTTAACTGGATCACAAAGAAATTATATTTAGAGGGGAGAAATACGAATGAAACTACGAGGGTGAGAAAAGGAAAAATATCTTACCAGCACTCTATCTAGTGCTTGTACTACAGACATGGGACTATTTTCTTGCGCTGCAGACAGCATGTTTATGACCTGAAACAAAAATTATTAATTAATAAATAAAGGCACTTCGTGATACCACAGGGAACCTCTCTTTACATAGGCCTAAAGAGCTAAATATTGCCTAAATCATAGAAAAAATATGAATGTATTTCCAGCCATACAACTGAACGAAAATTTTCCTCACACAAAAATTTCAAGCCTTTTAATGAAATTGTGAATGTAGTAGTGGAGCACCTGTATTCCATCTTGCAATACCAAATCACAGTAATGATTCACAAATAAGATCTGTCGAATACAGCTTGAAGCATTCCACAAACAGGACATTATTTCACAAAAGAGGCAGCAATTAAAATTTTTCAGCTGCATGTCTTAAAGTAAATTACACACATTTTGATGCTTCCATTAAAAATTAAACATTTCAAGGAAAACCCAAGAATATGACTCACTTTTGTAATGGGTGCCTCTATTTTAGTCGTAGTTGTTGTTGAATGTCTTCTAAGAATACCTCCTATAAATAAAGAAATTATAAAAAGTAGTGCTTGCAAAAGTCTGTGCAACATTTAACATCTTGACCGCAAATAGATGAAAAATGAAAAAGGGAGTTTAAGAATTATTGTGGAAATCCTTATGCACAGTATGACAAACAGGACAGTGAAACAGTTTTGGAAATATTAACACTTCCAAAATAAATTTTTCTTGTAGAAAGGAAAGTAAGGATCAACACGACAGAATCTGCCGCCCATTTTTAACACAAAGAGAAACAATTTTCAAAAGTTAGGTTTATCTTTGGAATCTTAAATTGTTGTCAGTAACACAAAGAATGACTAGCATCTAATTTCTCCTTCTAATATCACCCTTGATCAAACATTAAGGTCATGAGAATAAAGGAAATGATCACCAACTAAAGATGCCAATGATTGTTTTAAATAAATTGTCCTTGTCAGAACCTTAAAAAATGTGTGGAGAACAGTTTGTAGAATGTGCATACTGATATTAAGGTGTAAAAAGTTAAATATTCTTTGAATGCCCAAGGTAATTATCATATGGTTTCTGAAAACACACTTCTCCTTTCATCAGTATCACAGGCAGCATTACCACTAACCATTTAAGGTGTTAATTTGAACTTGTTCTGTTACACCACTGGCTGTAGTTGGCTATGAAGAAAACAGACATAAAATTGTGATCAAACTATAAAAAAATTCTAGCTTAACATGCAGACAAAATTAAACTATGTATTTTTGCACAACCATATTTCTGCCAAACTCTACTTTTGTTGTTGTCTCCCCAATTACACTGCCATCTTTAACTGAAGGAGGTTTGAGAGCTTAGTGAGTCTAAACCCTAGGCTGATGGGTCATTTGAGATCTTGATAGCTTTACCTTGAATGGACAGGTTGGAGGTTATGGGTGACAAAAACTGCAATCGACTGGTTTCAGATACTAAAGTGTAACACCCTTATTGTGCGAGAGAGACTGATATGCTTGTGAATAAAACACTTTCAAAAGAGGAATGTAATCATTTGTCTCATGATGTGGTCACTTTGGAAGTGGATCAACCTCATCTACCGAAGATGACCAGCAGTATGCAGTTGATACATCACAATCTACATCAGAAGTGACCAAATTGTGTCAAATGATTACATTTCTCTTTTGAAAATGTAATTTCCCACAATGACTGACCCAAAACTATTTTACGATATAATACACTTTGTTACACTTACTGATTCCATATGCATATTAACCTCCATATTCATGTTGACTTGATTCAGGGGATTAGCCTGGGTGATTTCTCTCTTCACTGTCACATGGTGAGCAACTTTCCTGCACATCAAAGAAGAGTGCTATAAGAATGTTACCATTCCCAAACCCTTCTCACTTTAATCTACACCTGTGCTCTAGGAAGGTGCGTCAAGGCTCTCCACTCTGAAGTCTGAGGTGGACAGCAATTAAAACCTTTCATAAAAGCAGTGTTGTACATATTCACCACAAGCTAGAGCCCTGTGACATTCCCCTCTGCCAAAACACAGCTTTAAAAGCCAATCTGATTAAATGTGATAGGAGACATGTAGTTTGCCAGACATAAGGTAGTGTAATAGTATATATGATGAAATTTTTTCTACATGTTTGTGTCTGCTGTAACAAAATACTAAGTTTTCAAATTGATTTTCCCAAGCAAAATCACCTTAAGTACTGTGTTCTAAAGACAAGAGTGACCAAAAAAATTAATTTTTCCTTAAAATATCTGTACATTGTTGAGATGAAGGGTGATGAGAAGATAGATAAAATTAAGTAATGGATATTATATGACTTTCCACCCAATTCTTAGAGAAAAAACTAAAAGCAATGTAGAGCTGACAGTGCAGGGAATTCTTGTTGAGATTTTAAGAGAGGAAGCATGAACTAACCATTTGTATCTTAGCTTGCTTGTGGCTTTTCACATCAAATACTTACCCTCCTTTGCCAATGATGGGAATGATATGCACATTTTGTAAGAAACTATCCCCATTTCTTCTTTTCCCAACTACTTTTCCCTCCCATGGCTGTAAACAGATAGAAGACAACATAGTATTACTACTTAGATCTAAGATCTGCAAACAAACTCTGTGTCATGCACAATTCATCAATGATCCACAAATTCAACAATCATCTAAAAAACACTTCCTCTTCACTTAAAGTCATTACAAACACTGACCAAACAAATAATAAAATTATTAGGAGTGGCACAGGAGGAGAAGTTAAGATAAAAATAATGATGATTATGGAGATGATGATGCTCTAGCCTGCAACAATTTTGTTGTTATTGTTTGTATTATTATTATCTTGAAAAGCAACAGTGGAAAGTGAAAATTGTACAAAAGAGAAGGAAAAAAAGAAAAAGCATGATCACTGATGGTAAAAATAAATTTTCACAAAGTTAAATACTGGAAAAAAAAAACAACAAACAACCTACCTTCCCTTTCTTTATGTGTGCATGAATTGACTCATATAACTCCTAAAATAAAAAGAACATCATTTCAAATGTTATTAACCTCTTGAATATCACGAGTGACCAAAACAGAATTTCTCCTTACAATATCAATACAATATCAAGCAGACGAGAAATGGGAATAGAGAAAATTATAAATTAGGGGATTACAGTAATAGTGGATCCAACACCAAATTCTCCAAACTAATATAGGAATTGTATGGCAGACAGTAAGGAGAATTACTAATAAGATCTTGGGGATGAAAAGGCTAATCCTAATCAATCAGCCAAATTTCATATTTGTCCTACTCTAATGTTCCCAGGGGTTAAAATGACCCCCTACCTAAGGGTTTTGTGTTGGCATCATTCAATCATCTTCCTGAAAATGTAAAGAATTTCTTCAATTTTAGGAAACCTTAATCCATTTTGGAACTTACAGGTTTCTCATGCTCGCTGTTCATCATGAAGTTCTGTGGATGCCCAACAGCTTCAGACATCTTCTCAAAGGCAGGGTTAAAGTACTAAAAATGTACCACAAAAAAAATTTTTAGAACTAAAGTAATTACCTCCTTATAGTTTAAAATGGTATAACTAAGATAAATAAATAACTTGAACAGAAGCTCCTAACTTTTTTCCCATCTTTTTTTACCCATCTGCCATCTTGTTTTCCTAAAATACTAGGATTTTCCTGAAACAGAAAAATGGCAACCTTGTGGGTTGTACAAGAGGACCATATCATCATCTCTAACAGATCATTGCCATTTTCAGGCTAGCCATTAGAGTGCCATTACTTTGAGTCTTTCTTCTTACCTCCCACACAAAGTTGTAACAATGTGTCACCTTTTTTTACCTTTATGATTTTGAAATCAAAGTATCTTAAACCAGTTGCACTGACTGTCAACAAATATGGCTCTTGTGACTATCGAGTGGAAGTTATGTAGGAACTAACAGAAATTTTTACCTAAAAATAACAATGTTTTAATGGTATGCCATACAGACTTAAAGATAAGATAACAAGTTCAGTTCTTCTTTCTTACTATCCATTACAAACTACTGTTTCACAATATTCTTTCCATCAATGAAATTTTTGTACAAGAAATATATGCTGTGTGCTATTCCATGAGTGCAATCCTCTAAACATTACATTAAAACAAAAATAAAATTTGGTTTTTTTTTTTTGTACCTCTACCTGTAACTCTGGCTTGTCAGGGTCTGCACTGGCAATCTCTACAGCATCAGTGGAGTGCTCAATTGCACTAAAAAGACAGCTTGTTGCCCTCAGTTTAAACATCGACTGAACTTCTCCATGTTCCAACATCAGCAACTCATTATGACAAGCCCCAACATTAGCATTTTCAACAAACCGCTAAAAAGGAAAAGTTAATTTTTGTCAAGATTTGTTTTTGGGAGAAATTACATTTCTGCTATGACAAATACAGAGATGCACACTAAACTCCCTTTTACCCTTTACACCCCAATATCAGATTACATATACTCCATACTGTTCTCTATACATTTCCTTAAGTGATAACAAAAATAATTTAACAATCAAGAGCTGCCTTAGTGGGTGAACATTTCCTCTACTCTCATGACCTTATGTTAGTCACTCTTACAGGTGAGAGTGTTAGTCATTCTAGCTTATAGAGAAGTGGAGCCAAAACAGTTTCCATAACTGCAAATCTGTACTTCAAGACACAATTTACTATCTTTAAAATGAAAGAAAGCACTCTCACCCGGTCAAATCCAGCTTTTAGCAGTGGAAGCATCGATGGTTCATCACTTCGTGGGCTAAAATAAAACATGTTAACAGTCTGTCAGGACTGATATATGTATGTGACTTAATTCAACACAAGTGCAATATGAAATACAAGAGAAAGTGCATCACAACACTTCAAACTCTTAGAAAACATTTCACAGGGTTATTCATTTGCAAAGGGCTTTAAATTGAAGTGTTAGGCTTACAGTAAAACAAATTAAACAGCTTCACTTAAATTATCAAAACTTTACCCCTTTACCCTTTGATCCAAGGAGTGATCACTTAATGAATTCTCATAACAAAATTTGAATAAACCAAACAGGTAACAAGAACTAGGAAACAGTCACCAATGGAATGTTGTTTAGATTTTACAACAAAATCAAAAACTGATTGATTATCAATTGGGAGGGTCTGGTTTTTTATCTTTGGGGCAACTGGATGAACAAAATTAAAATATTAGTGCAAAATGTTTGACAAGACACTGGTGTGAATACTGTCTTTTGTGAAAGCTGCTTAACTCTACAGTTGCATTGCTGTCAACACAGTACACTGTAAGACTGTTACAAACTTCACTGTACAACATTCAAAGATATCTGCTGACTGCACTTTGCTGCCAACTTCAACTTGAAAACTTTCCTTCACAAGCACAGTGGCTCATATGGTCATAATTTTTTTTTTCAAAAGCTTGTTATGTAATAACTTGGCAGACTGCACAATTTAAAGCTAGGATTGCAATCAAAGGGCAAATCTATGGACACATGTAGCCTGTAACTTGCAAAGGAGAGTCTAATTTGAAAGTTGCACGCAAGTGAGAGTAACCAGACCTGCGATCCCTCCTGAGGCCACATGTGAAAATTTTGCGAAGACAGTGGGATTTCGTTTTACTAGAAATGGCAATAGAGTGTAGTTAGTGATTAACATCTTACATTAATTAATGTCTTAGAAGAGCAAGCAAATTTGGAGAAGCATCACATGTTCAATAAAGTTAATTATCTTTGTTTATGAAAACAAATAACAACACATGCTGTTTCTCTTATTTCCGTAAAACAGAGATGTAATTCAATAAAGCTTGCTAATGTAACCAAAACCTGATTTAGCAAAGTGCACAGGTTGTCCGGAAGGAAAGGAGGTCGAAATAGCTTAGTGGAAAACACAGACAAAGAAGATTAAGCAGCTTTCAGGCAGACAGGCACACCAGTGGGTGATATAAATATTATTGTCATGAGTATATACATCTAAACTACACAAGAGAAACATTCTCGAGCTTAAAGTCATAAAACTTCCATTTCTTTTATAAAAATACAAATTCTCTTAAGTCAAGAATAAGTTTTGTCAGATGAATGACACACGCACACATCATTAAGTGATCACCCTTAAGTATTTTCTTGGAGGCTGTTACTTGAACAACACACAATAACCACTTTATGCAGGTTCATGAAACATTCCATACCATGCATAGTTGACAAGAAGATTACAATAAACAGATTTAAGATGTACAAATGCTTTCCCTGTCCTCAACTGATTTCCTGAGATAATGCCATGCATACATGAAATATTCACTATGGACCAATTTGATTCAGTCATGCAATAACAATTTTTTAAATCTTTCGCATGAAAAGACAACTAGTTAACCAAGTCAAGGTTAATACATCTGTTGAATTTAAGAGGAATCTGTTACTCAACACAAACATGTAACCCCATAATTGTCATTTTTCAATGACACTTCTTTATAAACATTGGCAAGTTTTGGGTCACATTTCGTTGCGAGTTAAAAAAGGATTATCATGAAAGTTTAATTAACAAGAAAGAAGGATGATCTCTGAATGAAAATAAAAAAAGCATGACATAAGCAAAGTGGTCAATTCCAAACAAACACTTCTACTTCCTAATAACATTTGGCCAATGCAAGCTCTGTCACCAAAGAAACAAAGATATTTCTGTGCTAAAATCCACAACCCCCCAGTTTATATAGGATGACATCTTTATCTGCATTTCAGATTTACTAGCTTTGAAAATTCCTAAGTAACCAAAGTCAGCTTTTAATACCATAGCTTCTGCAACCATGGTATTGCCATTGGAAAAAGAAAAAAAATTTTCTAGTAGACAAATCATAAACCCTGAAACATTGAAAATTAAATGGATGTTCAACACAAGTAGCAACAATTCTTTGGCAAGTTCAGTTTCACCTCTTCATGGAAAGTGGATAAAAGGAAGAGTGGCAGACAAACCCTTTCTTATCATTTTGAGAAAAGAGAGTTCATGAGATGGTGGATCAAAAAGTCAGTCTTAAATTTTCCTAGAAGTGTAGAGTGCACAAAAATTAGCTTGTAAATGGTACTAGGTCTCTCACCTCCCTTTGACTACAGCAATAATTATAGAATTCTCTCGTGGGCCTTTTGCTCTTATTATCCTAAAAAGTGAAAAAAAAATACTATTTAGTAAGTTAGGCAACAATCCTACTCTAAATCATACAAGATATAGCAAAAGGAAACTGCACTACATTACAAGTCCCTAGCAGGGGTTTAAATTTTTTCCCCCTAAGCGGCTGCAGATTGTGCAATAGCCAGTCATGTCCAGAAAAAGGGGCAATAGGGTGAAACCTAAACACAAACGCCTGTTTGCAGGCAAAACAGACAACAGTAACCAGTAACTGGCTTTTATCAAAATCCAGGCCTTGGTTTAAGTGTGGGTCACTCATGCATCTCAAAAACATTTTTGGCTTAATTTTCCTAAGCTTGTTCTTTTATGTGCTCTTTGACTTACAAACATGGTTAAATTAAAATTATTTTTCTGGTTCTCCTTGTTTCCAAGAAAAAACAAATAGATTACAACCCATTTGTTGAGCTATTGTAAAAAAAAAATCATGTTACATGTCATTTTCAGTAAAGTTTGCAGTTCAAAATGTTCACACTAGTTTGATTTATATTTCATTTTGGCCTGGGAACAAATATAAAAAAAGGTGTTTACCGAGGAAACAGAAGGAAACTTATACTCTGGAATCCTAAATCATTTGCAAAAATATCAGCTAGCGTAAATATTTTAACAAGGACGTTGAGAGAGAGAGAGAGAGAGAGAGAGAGAGAGAGAGAGAGAGAGAGAGAGAGAGAGAGAAAGAGAGAGAGCAAATTCTTAGCTACATTTTGAACTTGTTCATCTGCTAGAGAAAGACAAAGAGAAATGTTAAGTGTTTGTCGGCATTGTTGCACAAAGAAATATATCATTCCTGCAAGAGTACCTAACCCCAGCTAATTCCGAATTCTCCATCAGTATCCTATGGCAAAATGGTAACAGGATGACGTTCTGAGCCTCCATGGAGGTAAATAGTCTTCTTTATCCCACAATCAAAGCTTCCTTAATTAATTAATACCTGTAGGATATTTGTTGCTTTGTCTTCTAATTAAAAACAGCCCCCCAAGTAAATTCATGCAAGGAAATAGGCAAGAAAACTTTGATATATTTTGTGAGGAAAACTCAAAAAAACTAGAATAAGGGTGACCAAAAACAAATTTCATCTTCATAAATTTAGCTTGGTTACATGCCTTGCATTTTTGGTTTTGAATACCTAGTAGGCATCAAAATGGTGCAAAAATCATTGAGCATTCCTCAATAGGCATTCTTGAATTAATGATTTATGTCAAGACAATTGCAATGACCAAAATTGCCTAAGGATTTAGGGGAAAAACTCCAAAATTGACAGCTTCTTGTGAAAAAGCAAAAGAAGTTCCATTTCAACAAGAAAGATTACAGAAAACTACAAATACTGATGGCAAGAAAGAGAAGAAATCACTCCACATGTACACACGGCCAGGACACCTTTGATTTAAATCTCTAAAGCTAATTAATAAAGAACAAACTTCCCTGAACATTTGCTTGAAAGAAGAAATGATACAATGATAAAGGATATTTCAAAAGGGAAAAATAATCACTCTCCAGAAATAATTCTAAGAGTTTATAGCAACTAAGCTTGTTGGCTTAAAAAGCATTTCACCATGCAAATCAGAGATTTCATCATAAGAACTAGCAAGCTTACATTACCTGCAAAGTGTTTCTCCATCAATGACAGAATTTCCTCTCATGTCAATAAATATCACCTGAAAGTAATGATCATTCATTGAAATAAATGCAAACTAGGTGATGATCATATGTTTGGAATATTCCAAGATAATATAACGCTGTGAGAGTGAATCAGTGACTTCATTAGAGATTCCCATCAGTAAGTTTCTTGGACTCATTCCATGAAAATGACTGTCTAATTATTTAAACTAATTTAGCTATTGTTGGACAAAACCAAGAGAGCCTGGGACCTTCTGATGGCCTAAAACCATGGTTTGGGTTAGAGCTAATAAAAATAACAGGCCAAATGACTCCTAGACCTAAAAAAATAGGTCCAACTACAGAGAGCATGGTCTTTTTAATATAATAGCAATACATATTCTTTATTATCCAACTGCACAAAGTAGAGTCAAAATAACACACAAATAGAGTTTAACCAGTTGGCTGCGCGCTACACTTCTCTATCCACTTTGATTTCCCATCTTATGAGAAATGAGCAGAAAAACTTGGCAGAAAAAAAAGCAGTTGGATAATAAATAACTTATAGATGTTTTGGTGTGTAGTATCACTGAGTATTTTTACACGTTGTTTGTACTTTGAGTTGCCCAACGGGCTAGACAAAATACGGCACAACTCATTAAAATACTCAGCAATACTAAACACCAAAATATCTAATGAGATATATATATTTCAATCATTAAAAAAATACAGGTTGTAATCAACCCTTACACCCTAACAACAGTATGCATATTCTCCTTACTGTTTTTTATACAATTCCTAAGGTGTTGACAAGGAGAATTTGTTTAACAATCAAGAGCTTCTTTAGTTGGTGATCATTTCCCTTACTGTGTGATTGTGGGGTGATATTGTCAGGAGGAATTAGATATTTGTCACTGTTTGCGGTTGAAGGGCTATGAAATGATAAAATCAAGTAACTCAATTCTTGGAAACACCAACAACTTAGAGCTTAATGTCTTGTTCGGTTGATTCATTTATGAATATTAAAGGTTTTCCGTTCAACTTCATGTTCATTCTGATTGCAGCTTTACTGCCCTTTACTTGACAAATTTGACTCCATGACTAAGGAAGTTGTCTCCAAAATTACTTCTTCCTGAATTTCAGAGCCTACCAGTACTTAGTTTTGAGGTAAGTCATGTTAAAGATTCCAGATGACACAAACAGGACATTCTCTTTGATGGATGGTTTGATTGTGTCACATATTCCTTTGCTGTCTCCTTTAGGACAAAGGCCAGATTTTATTTTTCTTCTTTTCAAGGGGTTATAGAATCTGTGGACTTAATACTATTGCTTATCTTCCTCCCATTTCATACACTAAATTATTTGGACGTTTCATTATATGAATGCTGCATGAAAAAAACTAGCAGTCAAATCCAGCTCTTTCTACAACAATAATTGGGGCAATGCTAACAGGAAGCACTACTCCTATTCCAGAAAGGAAAATTAGCAAAAACCACTTCTAACAGAGACACATTGAAATCCTGCTGCTACCCTATGGAGCCACACCAACATGATCCACCAACACAAAATGAGTACAGGATACTCCTAATTCACTATTCTATGAGGTTGCCTTAACATATTGCTGGCACCCTCTCATACTCCCAAGTAGCAAGAGGCATTGCGATGTGTTCAAATACATTTTCAAGCACACAACTACCCTAGGCAAAGAGAAGCCTAGATGAAAAGTTTGCTTATATGAAGAGTGTTAAAAACAAATGTGTGAAACTTGCTCTAATTTTTATCATTTTGAGCTGGAAGAAAATTGAACTGATGCACTATCATTCACTTTCTAGCACTGCAGGGTAGAGTATGCAAAACTCGGTAAAGCTGTTGGATGATCCTTTAATCACAAAGAATTTCATGGAAGTGTTTTCACATGTTCATACTCAAAACATTCCTTGCGTAACCCTTTAACTCCCAGAGGCGATTAACTAGTAAATGTGTACCACCTAGAGGGGAGAATTAACAATCAGATCTTGGGAGTCTGAGGATTAATAGTACTGTCTCAATTCTCCACACCCTTCAGAGTGACAATGTGCAGGATACTAGTAAGGGGATATCACATACTAATCGCTTTGGAGTGTCAGGAAGTAAGTAGACTTAATCATAACATCATAAGGCTGATATAATCAAATTACTGATACCTACTCACCTCTGGCTGAATGTTTATGTACTGTTCCATGGCTTCTTCAGATGTTTTACAAATTTGACATAAATATCCACCTCTTTCGGCTGCATGAAGAAAGCTGTCAGTCTGAGCATCTTCTTTTGAAAACACCAGCATGATCTAGAACAATTAAAACAGGAAGTAACAATATTTTTAGGTTTGCATGATCTTGTGTATCTTTTGTTGGAAGAGTCTTCCAATAAGTGCTGTCAGAACATTGGTTTTTTGCAGTAAATAAAGTATTCTGATGACATAGCACAGAAAAAACAACAATTTCAATTTATTCCCAATAAATGAGCATTTCTCTATAAAACTGAGTTTAGAATAAACAGTACACTCATCAAAAAGGTATTTCAACATTCTGTAACAATATAAGTGAAACCACAAAACATTCTAACATGCAATCCTTAGATTTTTCAGAGTGGTTTTTCACAAAGTTCTAAATCAGTTCTTACATTGACAATTTAGAATCACAATTATAGTTTACTAATAAACCACAGAAGTCAATGGATTATATAAAAATCGGATGAGTGAAGTGAATTGACCATATCTATGTTGATCACAACAAAAAAAAGGTAAAGTTTAGACAAACTTTTTGTTACGCACACACAGACAGGCTTGTTTAATGCCTCCCAGAGTAAGTATTAAAAATAAAAAATACTTTAAAGAAACAAATGGCATCAAAGATAGATAAACATTTTTTTCTTAAGTAAAACTATGAGTTAACATGGTAGTGAACATTCATTCTTGGAAGTTTAAAGTGACACTCTACTTGAAAGGAACTTTTTGGAAGCTGCAAGACAATCTTTACATGCAAAGTAAAAACTCAAAAGTGTTTCAAAGAAATGTAGTGACTCAGCAGTAAACAAGAACCAGACAAACATGGAAACAGACATGGAGACTGAAAGTCAGAGAAGAGGTGGACAATGTTTATATGCCCACAAAAGAGTTAAATTAGAGAAAATTGTATGCCATAACATATGAAAATCCCACTTTCTTGGTTTAGTGCAAATAGATATTACGCAATTATCAAATTGTTAAACCAAATCTTGTTTGTTAAAGAAATTCATGTTTCTAAAATTAGAGCAAATATCTTTTTCAATCTGAGATTTGCATCCAAACCCAATTGATCTGGATAAATTTATTTTTGGAAAAGAATTTACATCCGGTTATAAGCATTCACACAAGCTGACCAAACCCTTAGTTTGGTCATTCTCAAAATACTGTATTTATTCGGCTATAAGCCGATCTCCGCTATAAGCCAAGACCCCAAACTTTGTACGTGTAGACTTCGCATAACAAGAACCAAAAATAAATCGAAAACACCCAGCTATAAGGCGAGACCCATTCATTATTACAAGACTGAATTGTTAACTAAGGGAAAAACCTAACATTTTCTGAAAAAATCACATTGATTGTCATAAATGAGGCTTAGACAATAACACATGAGCATTTACAAGAGATACAATGGTGATTTAATATGCAAAGGACCAAAAATCTTCTCTCTCAGAAAACAACGCAAATTAATACATATTACCCATAACTAACTATTCAATTGAAAGGTAATGAATCATAACTCAGATGAATTAATGTGATCCAAAATATCAGTTTAAAACTAACTGTGTTGTTGAGTGGCATCACCAGTACCTTGTTCACAATCATTTATTTCAAAATAGCTGTTAGTGGATTGATGCAACATCTAAAGGCAAAAGTATTTAGCAAGGATCCTGAGTTTAAAAGCATCCCTAAGCTGGTACCAGAAATGGAAGTGCCGCCATTTTGTCAGCCTACCCACCAAAACAATGATTGTATAGTGTGTTTCTTTACTTAAGCTTGACTTATGAGTAAATACATCCTAATTTAGCAGAGTTTCTGTGCGCTGGAAAAAATTTTTTTCAAAACTTTTGGCTATGAGCTGAGACCCACTCTAGAGCCCAAATTTTAGTTCACTTCAGTTTTAATTTGTATAAAAATCGCCCATCTTATAGTTGAATAAATATGGTATATATGATTAAGAAGTCCCCCCCTCATAACTCATTCACAAAATATACTTGCTAACTTTGCTACTGGTGTCTTGCTTATGCACAAGACTCACATTATCCCTGGAAAACTATTGATAAGTTCATTACAATTACAAAAAGAGAAAATATTGCAGATGGAAAAATAAAATAACAACAGTAAAATGAACCCTGGTAACAAAATTCAAATAGTGCAGACTAAATGAATACAATCCCTGACTTTTTGCAGAATGTCTCACACAACCAATCTAACCAAATCAGAAAAGTAGATTAAAAAATTTCAAAATTTCCACTTAAAATTGTACATTGTGACTGTAAAATCAATGAAACCAGCGTAACATAAAGTAGCAGCAAAATATGTTTCATATGCTGCAAACCCTGATTACATTTAACGAAAAATCCATATCGTGACTTAAAAATGAACAATCAACTGTGCATCAGCACATTCAAGATGTTACCATCATCAAATATGATCAATACATTTATCATCCCAACAACAACTATGGTAACCAATAAATCAACAGACACTAAATCTAAGCATGTAAATTCTTTTCAGCCAAATGTCTGAGAGGTAAAAAGCCTTCTTTTCCATAAAGACTTTCCAACCAATCATTCAGCTATTTCAAAAATTTGTCTTTCTGACCTTCTTTCACTACTCCCAGAAATGAAATGCATCTGTATTTTAGTTTTTGTTTCAAGGAAAAAGGAAGGAAAAATGAAAAGACCAAACATTTAAGTCCACACATCATGTGCTGAAAAAAACCTTCAAGCCTAGCAAGATCAGATTACTGACCTATTAAACTATACTGATAAGGCAGTTACAGCTATATTTTTTCAAGATCTATCAGGACAGATCTAGAAAGCCTTACTCTTGCACATAGACAGCATAACTTGATTTCCACGAGGAAAAAATACATACACACAAAAACTAAGCAAAACAAAACTGTCATCCAAGGTGGTTTAAATAAAAAATTGTCTTGCACTGATATCCACCAAATCAGTTATTTGTTTATGATCAAATGTTTGCTAGTAACTATGCACAGGGTTACACATGAGTTCTCGAAAAAGCCACAACCAGACACACTTCATCCTGGTGACCTTTTTGTGTGTATCTGACACAGTAATAATGACATAATGCACAGGTTAAAAATTTCTCTTTCTGATGTCAGTTTCAAACGCGATGAAATTTACATCAAAAAGTGAATCTGTGGGTGAGTAAGGATTTGAAATGAAATTCAACCTTGCCTCGTCTGCGAATCGAGTTTTTTTCGAAAACTAGTACAAGATTCGTTGTCATCATCAAGCAAGGTCATGATACAAACTCTGGCATCGAGTAACAGTAAATTCAAACGACTTCGGAGAGGCGTCCTTCTTAAAAGCTGCGATAGCTCCTGTTTCTGATGTTTACAATAGGTCAGTTTTTTTCTCGATAGCAAATGTTATCATCTATGCTTCGCACAAGACTGTTATGAGAAATTTGGATAGCGACCACAACAAAAACTCGCCATCAAACCTGTCAACTCGAGGTCATAAAAAAGATTAAAGTTTAAAAACATATATTCAACTGAAACTCTGACTTTTAAAGCGCGTCAAGTCGAAATGCCGGCGAAAGGCAACAGAAAATCTTGGTGCCTTCGGAAGAATCGATATGAGAACTTTCACGTATTACATGTAATATTTTTCAGAGAAGGTTTGATCCCTTTCTCTTCTAATGAAAAAACAAAGTTTTGCAATGGCAGGATGGAAAGACTTCCTGGTATCACGAGCGAAGACAACATTTAAAAGCCAAGCAAAAATATTAGGTAAGGAAAGGCCGTGGACCTTTCACACGACGAGAGCTATTGTAAACAAAAAACAGACCAATCTTTTTACGCGCTTGACGTGGAAAAAAAACCGGGGAAATATAGGTGAGGATTTCTCCTTCTTAACGGTAAAGATAACACAGGGGTTACCAGGATGTGAAAAATAACTTAAATCAAAGGTCTAGTAAGTCAAAATTGCGAAAGGTTGGCATATGAGCAAAGGAAAAATGCTCTGAATGTGTTGACGCGAAGCGCTAGGATGGCTTCGTTCCCAATGAAACAAAGTGGACGTGTAAAGGCACTATACAGAAATACTGTACAACACCCTATTCCAGGTCGAAGTTTGACGAGTTTGATCCGCTTAAAAAGTCGAAATGAGGCCAAGGATTGGCCACGTCGGTGAGAGAAGGGTAACTTCGATAGCAACTGTACTGTACATGATCTCTAACTGTCTTTCGCCCACAAGTCAAAGCCAGCTTTTTTGTGTTTTAACCGAGAAAAGACGAACGACAAATCCTACCTGCATTTGGGCTTGATATAACTTCATTGGTCCAAGTGAAATTTCCTTTCTTTCATTCTGTAAAAAGACATCCATAGAAAAATATCAGAGGACTGCGAAGGCAACACGGCCCAAATTTTGTTGAAAATGTACTCTGAACACCTTTTAATCTAAACTCAGTCGGCGACAATCGCAAACGGGAAAATAACACTCTTTACCTTGGGATGCTCCATACTACTCCTTGGGTCGTAAGTTTGTGTTTCTGCTTCAATAGAACTACCTCGATGAGAGTTTTGTCCTTTTTTATTATTTCCACGATTTCGAGAAGAAGACGACGTCGAAATATGCGACCCAGAGTCCGAGCTTGAACGAATATGGCCGACAATTTCACTAGGAGAAGATGCTCTTGGTCTAGGGCTTGATCCTTCGCGAATTTCGTCTCTACAATAAAATACTCCAGATTGTGAGACGTGAATGCTAGGAGCACAGCCCATTTATAGGGCTTAAAAGGAGAAACATTCACAGTCAATGCACCCACAATTTGTAACCAAACTTCCACAAGCAACTCAATAAGGACAAGATATTAGAATTATTCGCCTTCCCACATGCAATTCAAGGTCCCCGAACCAAAATCGTCAATTGCCGATGTCGTTCGAAGTAGCATGTGTGTTGGCGTAAAAAATACGCTTATCCCGCAAAGTTCACACAATCCATAGCCGGTGTTAGATCTTGCGAATCAACCCTTCTTGGAGCTGATTTCTCTGGGCACTCGGCACAATTGCGACGGACTTTTGAAAGCTTCAACCTTGTTCGCTGCTAGCTGTTGCTGTTATGGGAACAAACTCTGCTGGGTCGCCTCGTCATGTATAGAGGTCCAATCCCCGACCATTACTTTCGCCATGTGACCTCGTTAACCAATTGACTGGGTACGATCGGAATTCTTCGGTAGCGGTCGGGAACAGGTCGGTTTCCGATCAAACAGCTGCACCGTCCACGGCGATCTAAATTGACCTTCGAGTTGCAACTTTGCGGTTTGTTTATTCGCTGGGCGGTCGACGCAAATAGATAATATTACGAGGAAAGTGCAGAAAAATTGCAAAAAGCGGTAAAAAAGTCCTCAGAAATACAGAAAAAATAAAAACTTCATGATAGACCGGCGGAATTCAAAACAAATCTTCTGTTTTGTGGCTCACTCGTGCTCTACGGAGCTAGCAGAGAAACAGCCAATGTACATAAAGAGAACTCATGAATGGTGACGTCATGGCTGCACAGATGGTCTCTCCTGCAAAAGAACAAATAATAATAATTTTTCAGAATTTTTCCGCAATACATCTAGCTCTCAAGACAATTAAAACTACGCTGTTCAGAAACAACAACAAAAAAAACATTTTCCGCTAAATCATACAGCAAGTACGATATAAACAATAAGAACTTTGTTGCAGGTTTTTCTCGTTTATTTTTCTTTTTTTTTCTTTCAAAACACAGGCTCTAAAGACGGTTCATTATCTATAATATGATTTATTCAATCGTTACTCCTCTGAAAGGGGCTTCTTTATCTTACTCAGGACTGGAGCTGAAAGTGTAAAATGGATCAGTTTGTAGGATGAGGAATATCTCGAACTAGTCACCAAGCGTGGGTTGAGTTTCCAACCGTTGCAGCTGAACCGGAAGTGCTTAACTCAACAACAGAAAATAATCTACACTGGCGCTGCATGATGGGTAACCAAGCACCTAAGCTCTGTATCTCAAGCGGTTCACAGGTGCTAATAACGTTTTCATCTCTAGTTACAGAAGTAACTGGAATTGACCATTGAATTTGATAAAATGTCCTAGGATCTGCCCAAAACCAGCATAGCGAGCGGAATCATTTTAGAACTTTGTTTTTAAATATGACCATAAATGTTGCCGTTGGAGTTGCAAGTGTTCTCATCAGGATTACTGTTCTCAGCCTTGTTTATACGTTTTATCTGACTTCCAGTTCAAAATATTATCATTTTCTTCATAAATGATACCACATGATATCGCAATTAAATCAATTAGTACATCGCGCCGTCAGCAAACATTCGTGTTTTGTTGTTGTTGTTGTTTGTTTTGTTTTTTAATCTTAAGATTGGTAACAAACAGGAAGGCCAAATTTTCCGCATATTTATATTGTGACGTATTTACTACTTCCTTTCCCAGCAGAACATCCTATTGCAGGACTCTCTCAAAGCGTATATTGTATCAACGGACGAAGTTGTTAAAAATGGAAAATAGGAAATGACCAGTACACCTGAATTTCTAAGTCAAGTGTACTTCTCGTACGTAACCCAACAAAAGAGAAACAAACCCCTGCCTAAAGATAGCAAGCAAGACTGATAGTTGTCCAGCTTTTTAATTCCTAGCAATTCTCAAATGATTGTCGAAAGTGATCGGGATTGCGTGGTCAAAGTGCTTCAATATGCTCTGAGTTGACAACTCTTCAAAATTCAGGCAATTTTCTCGCTATCAGTGCGGTCCTGATACCAGTTACGACCCAGGGTGTCTCACACTTTACACATTTCTTCGAAGCCGGCAATTAAGCTTTAATTTGTGTGTGAGGTGGGAAGTATTAAAAAACCAGACTGGCTTTTTACACGCCTTTGTCTTACCGACATGGAACACTCTTAGCTCTGAGTGTTGTTAAAGCAAAGTATTTGCAAACAGTCGATCAGAAGCCTACAAGAAGGTTTTGGTGCTGCTTCACAAGCGTCTCGTGGGTTCCTCGCGTGTGCGAGTCTGCCGAAGTAAAACCGGCCTGCTTGCGAGTCGTACAAGGGTTCTGGAACGAAAAACGAGAACGAAAACTTTTCTCTTTATCGTACTAGAAAGACTTCCCACGGACTTCGCGAGAAAATGGGGGGATAAAACTCCAAATCCCTGGGCTTCGCCGCCCCTGGTCAAGTGAGATGAAAAGGCAGGTGTCACACCATCACTAGGTGATCAGTTGAGACTTTATAAATCCCTTCGACGCATGTTTATCACCTGAGGATGAGTGCAATATCGTTGCTTTTTTGAAGTGAATTTGTATGAGTCATCCATTTAAATTTCAGTATATTCAAACGAATTTTCATCGCGGAAAATGTTATATTATTTTCATTCGATGGCAGTGTATTTTTTTAGCCCTCGCGAATCCAGCTTATTTTCATTTTTTGACAAGTTAAGTTTAAGTTCTAGTTCAAAATCAAAATCAAAAGAAAGTTTCCTTGATCCGGTGAGCTCCCATTGTTGGTCATCAAGACAGGGTCGCTTGTCAGTTGTCGGAAAACTACAACCAAAGTAATAAATAACAACGGCCAATCAGGAGAAAGCAAAATACCTGTAATAGCCAATGAGAATTCAAAGTAATGACAACCAAACTGCCTGAAACGTGGGAAAACGCGAGGGATTAAGTCATGATTGGTTTTAATTTTGTATCTGATTGGTTGAGAAGGTCGCCCGAGTTTTCGGGACCAATCAAAGAGCGAAGTATAGCAAAAGCAAAGCAATCACGGATTCCTTTCGACGCTCAAGATAGATAACATGGTACATTAACTTCCTGTAAGCATTGCATAACTTTGGACTTTCCGGTAAAAGATTTCAAGCTTCGCTTTCTTGTTTTATTACTCGTAAAAATCACTCTTCTTTGAACCTTTCTTTCTTCTGGCGAAATTAAACTCAGAATCTATTACTGGAAATTTTCTTCGGCGTGTCCCTAAAATGCTTAAATTGGGACCTTAGGCAGTCAGGACGGCAACGCCAAGGAAGACATCGATTAAAAAATGAATTTCTGCCTTTAGTTAGAATTTAAAAAATCGCTGCATTTGTTTACCGTCTTATACGGCGCCACACCTCAACTTCAGCATAACGTATAAAAGAAACGTTGAGTTCCAAATGGAAATTGAAATAATTTGCCGTCGCGGTTTCGGTTCGCAGACGACGTAAGTTGTGGCGATTTCACGTTGTTGTTTTGCACGAGACGGCTAAGAAATGTACAAAGTTTTAAAACGCATGTGCTGAGCTATTGTTCTGCCAATTAGATCTTTTGTTTTTTTCGTGTCCTCGTTGCCGTCGCCGTCGTGGTTTGCTTAAGGTCCCTAGTATTCAACGCAAGGAAGAGTTTTAACAGCGATGTGGTATAATGGGATAAGTGAAAGGAAACGGCGCCAAAACTTTTATAACACTGTGAACTACTTTCTCTGCTTTTTGTGAAGTTATCTTTCCATGAGATATCAGTATTTGTGTGAGGGAAGAAAACTTTTTGTATAAGTTATTAAGTTGCCACTAACCACTCTAGCCAGCCAACGAGATTTCAGAATTTCGCGCCGCGCGCGAATATCAATTACCATTAATACATACTTTTTGATAACTTTCGTAATTCATAAAGGGTTTCGAAAGGAGTAGGGAGAAGAAGAGGTATTAAATGTGTAAAAGCTGGAGTGATCCAATTTTCCCTTTTGGAGCCTCCGTAAGCAAATGTAGGCCGCGTGACATGTTAACCCTGTTACTGATCCCTGGATTACAGCGCGCGCACTCAAGAAAGAACTTCGTTACGTCACAATAGGATGATTACGAACTAGTAACGAAAAATTAGTTTTTCAGATCACATCTTGCAGCTACTTATCGTTTTAATTAAAGAAATTAAAAATAGAGTCATGGAAGAAACAAGGCAAGAAGTAGATACGGGGGAAGACGATCGAAAACAGTGGGACGAATCTGCAAGTCTTGAGGCGAGAGAGGCAAGGCCTGTTTTTAATCTTCAGCAAGTTCCTCTTGAAGCGAGAGAGACAAGGCCTGTTTTTAATCCTCAGCAAGCTCCAACAAGTTTTCTACAGCAACAAAACTCACCAGTTCTGTCGACCCAGCTGCCGACGATCTGTTCACAAAATTCTAACGTGCTTCCTCAGATGCCTGTTTATCCAACTCCTCGATTTTACTATCAATGTTATGCCCCACCGCCATACTCCAGACCAATGTTTGATCCTTCTGCTTCATATCAAGCTTTCTATCAAAATGAAGGTATTTAATAACTTTTGTATCGATCGATTAGTTAGCTTGTTATTATGCCATTGAAGTAGTGGGCCCAAAAAACCAAGTTCATTAAATCGGCCAATGAGGATTAAGATAAATTTCTCAAGAAGCCAGTGAGAGCTCTTTGCGCGGGAAAACGAAAGATACCAAGCCGCGCTTGGTTGGTTTACAGTTGTCTTGCCGAGGGAATGGCGAGAATTTTTTTGGATCAGCTACAGTGCACATCGAACTATACAACCAAAGCGATTAAATAGCGGATAACTCTTAGTAGCTAATGGTGAAAACTTAGCTGTTGTTGTATATTTACCCTGGTGTTCACTGCCTGTCTTTCTATATTTTATAGATAAAGATGTAAGCTTGTAAACTTTTAAAAAAGGTCTTTCAGCGCAGTGTTCAAAGAATTCACTAACGTGCTTAAGATAAAAGACTGGACATTGCTGACGCCTCACAAGTTTGATTATATTTGACGATAGAGACTTCTTCATCTAGTACCTCTTTCAATAGTGTCGCTAATGGCAAAGTTAAAATTTAAAAGGTTCTAATGTCACCTTTTTTGTTTGATAACCCTGGTGACGAACCAACAACTTAATACAAGTTCTTTATATCTGACACAGATTTTCGCCCCAAAGAGAAGCGCCGCCGGTGTAGAACAGTTTTCACTCAAGAACAACTCTTCCTTCTCGAGACTGGATTCGATGAGCAGAAATACCCGGATGGCAAATTCCGCCAGGAGATGGCTGAGAAAACAGGCCTCCCTGAGGACAGAGTTCAAGTTTGGTTTCAAAACAGACGAGCCAAAGAAAAG